ACAACCTTGGAAGCAGGAGTGGAATCCACTTCCGTAAATAGCTTGCCTCCGGAAACCTTATGAACCTGGAGAAAGGATGAAAGTCACACCAGTATTGAAGACTTTCGTTCATAGGGTCGCTATGAGTCTCCAACCACTCAATGACACTTAACAACAAACACCAACAACTGATAATTTAAGACTTTTCCCCATCTGTCATAATGTTGCTTGTCAGTCCAGTGGCTGAGATTTTGTCATCTTGATGTTGAGATGCAATTCATATTGAAGTCTAGTATTTGATCTTTCACTGCAAGTGTTTCCGTTTAGATGATCCTGATTTTGATGGCAACATCCAAAACATTGTGCCTCCATCAGACCTGATCAAGATGTTGGTCTTGGCCCCATCAATGTCATGGAACCTTTTCAGTTTATTTGATCTGGTGCTTGGTGAACTTTAAATCTGTAATGAACACAAGTTTAGTCTTCTGTCTTCTTCTTCATAGTTGACTCAGTGGTGAAGAGGAGCTTGATAATGCCATAATGGCTACGCTGGTTTCTCCTGGGGCTATTTGGAAATTTGGGCTTCCTTTGGGGTCTCTGTCTTAAGCTGATGGAAGGTAGTATGTGGATCTTTATTTGTGTGTGTGTCTGTCTGTCTTATGCCTTTCAAGTCTGCCTTCTTAGCCTTCGCACCCATGATTTGCTTCACTTTTGGAAACTACCTTTTTCATTTCTAGCATCATCTTTTTTAAAAAAGGCCAATAACAGAATATTAGAACAGTAGTGTGGCTCTAAGATCCTAAATACCTTCATGTACAGTTTTTCATTCAGTCCTGCCCTGAGCCTGAAGAAACTACATTCTGCTATATTACTGAGCCTTTTTAGATTTCTATAATGATTTGACTGGCTATTTTAGTTGCATGAGTAAATAAGTGTTGTTTTTATGGTCTAAACAACCAGATATTGGCAAATTTGATATTGATAATAGCCTAACACTACCATTTTACTATTTGAAGTAATCAGTGTGATTCATGCCTCATGCCTTTCCACCTCCACCACACCCTCCTCTGTACATATTCTTGACTTAGAAATATTTTCAAACAAAGTCCTTTTCTAACTGTTGACAAGTTAGTTCTGGAGAGACTTTATTTCAGGTATCTTCTTAGAGGGCAGAGAACATATTTACAACTGAGTTCCCGTAAAGAAAACGTTTAGTGATTTAAAAAAAAATATTAATGTATTCGTGTGTGTGTGTGTATTCTGTAGGGAGCTCTGATTGTCTAGCAGGTAAAGAGCTATGCTGACAACTCAAAGTCATGTTGTTTGAATACATCCGTGGTTCCTCAGTAAAAAGAGGAAAAATTTTCTCACTTGCAATTTTCAGCCTCTAAAAACCTGCTGGAGTAGAAAAATTAAACTAAAACCTGCTGGAAGGTCAACTATGAGTTGGTTCTGACTTGATGGCATATGACAACAATAAATATTCTTTTTTTTTCTTTTCTATTCTTATTGTTTTGTACTGTCAGAATTAACTTATAGCTGACCCTCCAGTGGATTTTCAAAGGGTGTCAATCACACAGGACATGACCCATCTTTCTCCCTCAGATCACTAGTGGCCTTAAACCTCCTTGCCTGCCTTTGGGTTGGCAGTCTGACACCTTACCACAAGGCTACTAGTGCTTCCTGAGAAAGAATATACTGAGGAATTGTAAAATTATATTTAATCTACTACATCACCACTGGACCAACTGGCAGCATCATGATAGATGGTGACAAGATTGATATTGTTGACAGCTTCAATTTGCTTGGCTCTACAATCAACACTCTTGGTACCAGCAGCCAGGAAATTAAAAGACAAATTGTATTGGGAAAGTCTGCTGTCAGAGACCTCTCTAAAGTACTGAAAGAACAATGATGTCATTCTGGAGACTAAGGTGTACCTGATCCAGGCCATGGTCTTTGAAATTACTTGCTGTGAGTCAGAGAGCTGGACAGTGACTAGGGATGATAGAAGGAGAGTGATGCCTTTGAGCTGTGGTGCTGGAAGAAGATTGTTGAATATACCACGGACTGCTAAGAGGACAAACAAGTTTGTCCTGGAGAGGGTGAAGCCAGGCTGCTCCTTGGAAGCAAGGATTCTGAAGCTTCGTTTGACATACTTTGGACATATTGCGAGGTGAGATCAGTCCTTGGAGAGGGACATCATGCTTGGAAGGGTGGAGAGACAGAGCAGGAGAGGAAGACCCTCGATGAGATAGATTGATTCAGTCACTGGACTAATGAGGGTGGGTGTGTTGGAGACAATAAGATTGGTACAGGACAGAGCAGGATTTAGGGCTGTTGTCCATAGGATCACTATGAGTCATAGGCGACAGATAAAACCACTGCCTGATCTTGCACAGTCTTTGCTGTGCTTAAGTCCATTTGTTGTAATCACTATGTCATATATCTTGTTGAATGTCTTCTTCTTTCTCACTACTTTACCAAGTATAATGCTCTACTCCAGGGATAGGCCCCTCCTGACATCATGCCCAATATATGAGACAAAGTCTCATCATCCTCACTTCTAAGGAGCATTCTGGTTACATTTCTTACAAGGTGGATTTGTTTATTCTTTTGGCAGTCCATGTATATTCATTAGTCTTCACCAGTACCATAATTGTGTTTTTATAATTCATTCTACTAAGTAGCAGACCAGTTACAAAAAAGTTTGCATCAATATTCACCTAATACTTGTCCTGCTATGTAAGTGCATGATTTCTGGAATCATCAGTTCCTCCTATTTTCAGTTCCCCAGCTCCTCTATGTCCCTTGGTTGCCGTGGTTCACTGAAAGGTGTCTCAGAGACTCAGACCCATTGGGGAAATGACTCATGTGACCATAGGTATTAAGGCTTTTATTGCAGGAAATGGTGAGCATTGGGCCTGGAGTCGAAAGACTGTTGGTTGTGGTGCAGCTGGATGGCATATCTTGGTGATGTATGCTGGTGTTGCAGAGTCTGATGAGTGATAGGCTAGGACTCTACAGATTGTCTGTTGCAGTGCAGCTGGGTGCTATGTCCCAGAGAAGTAAGTGCCTCAGAAGAGCAAAAGACTATCACTGAGGTCACAAGAGTTTATATAAGCCTCTAATAGGGTGGAGATCATATCCATTCCTAATCCTGTCTCCTTAATAATAATAATCATACAATAAATTTTCAGTGCAAAATAAACAGTTAATGATTGACTAGGAAAGACATTATAAATGATATAAACCTTAGACACCTAGAGAAAGACATCAGTTCTTTAGTCTTTATTGTCCAACTTCCACAAAGCATATGAGATGAATGAAAATACCAAAGCATGGGTCAGGCATATCTTAGTCTTTATATTGACATCCTTACTCTTTTTTTTTTTTTTACAAAAGCCAATTATAATTTAATGATCCATTAATTAATTCACTGTACTAAGCAATTGCAATTTATCTACATTGCAGTTGATAAATTAATCACAACATATTGGTTCATTAATTCATAACAAACATTAATTGCAATTTATCTATATTGCAGTTGATAAATTCATCACAGCATATTGATTCATTAATAGTGGGGAATACTCACTCACCCCTGGGATCCCAACTTATCTCCTTTTGCCTGTTATGGCCATTGGTACAGTCAGAGTCTTCTGCTGTCTCAGTTCATGTCCATCCATGTGGCCAGAGTCCTTGGCTCTGAAAAGAGCCTTTGAGTCTTCAGTGTGCAAGTCGTTGTCTTCTGTAGAAGTGCAGTTTTAGTTAGGACCCCAGAGTTTATATACTTTGGGGGTATTACATTGTATTCAACCAATAACATTACAAATAACAATATTTAAATTTGGGTTTTACCAACCATATTAGTTTCAGAACAAGTTGTATGACCAGTCACACTAGTCCCAAAGCAACATGGGTTTGACCAGTTATTTTCTATACTAATTGTGTTTCCTTGGCAACATGGGCTGGAACAAGTCATATTTCCTTGTCAAAGGTTCACACCTGTTGTGGCCAGTGGGGCCCTAAAGCCTCTCAGGGCCTGTTTGAGCCTGTCAAACTGTTTAGTATATTTTTCACAAATATTCCTGCCATATTTTCTAACATGGAGCATAGCAAATTTCTAACATCTTTCTTATTCTTATTTCTAAGATATAGCAATTTCCTAACATATTTCTTATTCTTAAACTTAAGCATCAAACTTATCATAGCAAACTTACAATATTTTCTATACTTAAACCATTCATGTCATATAAGTTTATATTTGTTGCTTCACAACAAATTATTGTATTTTATGCTCATAACACTTTCCCCAGCTGCCTCCAGAAGGATGTTTTAGCGGCGACATCCTTACTCTTTAGCACTTTGAAGAGGTCCTTTACAGCGGATTTGCCCTATGTAATAGGTCATTTGATTTCATGGCTTCTGTATCTGTGAGCATTGATTATGGATCCAAATAAAATAAAATCCTTGAAGTTTAAACATTTCTCTATTTATACTGATGTTGCTTATTAGTTCAGCTGTAAGAATTTGTGTTTCCTATATGTTAAGGTATAATCTGTACTGAAGGTTACAGTCTTTCAGCTTCATCAGTAAGTGTGTCAATCTTATTTATTTTCTGCAAGCAAGGTTGTGTCATCTCCATATGCAGGTTATTGATGATACCACATTCTTCTACCTATAATGCAGCTTCTTGAATTACTTGTTCAGTGCATAGAGAGAATTAAGTGTGGTGAAATGATAGAACCTTGATGCATACCTCTTTGGATTTTAAACCATGGCTTCTTGGCTTAAAATGTGCAGGTTTGATAAACATAATTTTATGTCTCAATTCACATTCTTCACATTCTTATACATACATTATTACGATACGTTGTGCCTTTGCATTTTGACACAGATATCTTTCTGGTACTCTCTATGTTCAACCAAGGTTTATTGACAACAATAATGTTATTTCTTATTCTGTGTAATCTTCTAATATAACAGCATGAGATATATTATTTGTTCTTGTTTTGCAGGCAGATGTAAGTATAAAATTATGGAAAAATGGATTCACAGTCAATGATGACTTCAGAAGTTATTCTGATGGTGCAAGCCAGCAGTTTCTGAACTCCATCAAAAAGGGGTAAGCAATCTTTGTAAATAGAGGTATATATTTTAAGCATGCTTCATATGGAAAAGTCCTTTTTAATGTTTCTAAAAGATCCCACATATTCACAGATACACTCTTTTTTTTCTGAATAAAATAATTTATTATTTTATTGCTAAATTAGAAATGAAAATAAATTGTGAAATTGTGTAAAGCTTGCAGCTTCATGCAAATTATGGAGTAATGGAGGTGCCCATTGAAATAGATGAAAAGTGGCTTATTTTTAGGGAGGACAAGGAGTATGGTGCACACTTACAGATACTCAATGGACAGATCATTGATAGCTTCTGCTATGTGCAATTTGCACACCAGTTGGAAGTTTGAAAACAAATGAATAAGATATTGGCAACCTCCCACTGATCTTGTAGCTAGAAAGTATTATGGATGAGAAGATTCAGAAGAGGCCTAAAACCTCCACCAAAAAAAGAAAAAGATATTGTTGTTGCTGTTGTGTACTGTCAAGTTGGAACCAATTCATAGGTGACCCTCCAGAGAATTTTGAGAGGCAATAAATTGTACAAAAGGAGATTGTCCATCTTTCTCCCGCGGAGCAGTTGATGGACTCAAACCCCATGTCTTTGGATTGGCAGCACAATTCTTTGTCAATAAGCCACTACCAATAAAAGCTTGTCACTCAGATTAGGTTGAAATTTAATTTTAGGAGGAGAGTCTCATTTTATGATGTTTGAATACCTTCTTTGTCCTACTAGATACTTTCTCTTGAAAGAATAATTTCCCAACCCCCTTCAGTATTAAATTCAGTTTTAACCTGTTAAACTTCCCTTTAGACAAGTGAAGATTGGATGATCAGCTAAAGGCCAACACCTGGAATCATAATTGCCTCTTAAATTTGAGTATTGATCAACCAAAATCTGGAACTAAATCCCTTTTCCTAGAACTCTTTAAAACCTAAGTTTAATTTACTATTTATTAATATTTAAATGATTATAGAAGTTTTGAAACCAGTAATTTTTTCACTCTTAAAGTTATATGTGCTTGCCTAGAGTATTTTTTTAAATTTTTATTAATTTTAATGAAAGTTTACAGAGACTTTGGCTTTCCATTCATTCATTGTTGCACTTTTCTCTCTGCCACCTCTCCCCCCCAAATTCACTCTTCTCTTTGAAAAGTAAAAGAAAAATTCTTTCACTGTTATACAATCCCTCACACCAAGTCCATTCCACTATGCTGTCTTCATTCTGGACTCCTGTCATGACAGTAATACCTAATCATATGCCCCTTTTAAACAGTTCTATCTTTTTCATCCGTTTCAACGCAATATACATAATTTATCTCATCTTTCTCAGTCACCCGGCTAACCCCTATGTCAGTTCAGTTTTACATCAGTGGCACTATGTGGTGTTTGTCCTTTTTTTTCTTTTCTTTTTTTTTCCATTTTCCCCATTTTTTTAAAAAAGGAAATGTCTTTAATATAAGAAGAGTTCCAAAAAACTTTAAAAGGTTCCCAGTATTGATTCTGTCTAAAATGTACAAGATTTTAAACATAATTTATATAAAAGGCTAAAAACAAAAGGATTTAGTTCTGCCTTTCCTTTTTAAAAAATTCCACAAGATTCATGACATAAAGTTCAACAAGTTATCACCATTGGAGCCTCAGTCGTCCTCAGAATCACTGTTCCCCATTGTGGGTATCGAACTTCGTACTGTTGACAGCAACATGTCATCTATAGGTTTTCTGGGGTTTTCTTCCAGATCTGTCTTGATTGCCCCAGCCTCAGACAATTTCCACTCCAACTCACCTCTTGTCAGGTTCATGCCATCAAATACTAGAGGACCAATAGATTCAGCCTTGATATCACCTTCAAGATAAACAAACACTATGGGCAGATTTCTTTCAGGGTAATTGGGTATGCAGGTTGTTGAAATAGCTTTGATGAATTTAACATCAGGAAATTTCCTTGCAAGTTCAGTGGTCAATTGATCAGAGCACAGAGGGGAATCCCTTGCTTGTAAAGGTGCAAGATTACCCACAAGCCCTTGCCAGATTGGGTAACTTCTTGAACATAGTCTTTTCCTGAGATTTCCAAAACTTCTCCAAATTTATTCTCGAGTTTAGTTGCTTTCCATTCCACCAGTCTCTGCTGCCTATACATTTCAATAGCGTGTTCATCTTCCTCATTGAATTCATCTTCATTATCCTCTAGCTCTTCCAAAGTCATCGCTTCATATGTTTTCACAATTGACTGTTGGAGGACTCGCTGCTGTTCCTCTTCCTGTTCCAATTCTTTTGAATTTTCCTTTGGGGGCAAGATGCCTTTTTTGCGTAAGATGTCATTCCACTCGGTATCTGCATTGGGGTCCTAAATATTTAGTTACCTTTATCATAGACCTACTAAGAGAGAGGTGCATTTACAAAGATTATTTGTTCCACAATGGAACAAACTGAAAAGTGAGTGCACCCCAAACAGAAGACCATCATTCGAGGGTGTGGGGGAAAAGGGATGAGAAACACGAGTTCCAGGAGTTCTCTGTATCTTTCACTATCTGAGCTGCTTCCGGAGCCCTACAACTGGTCCATAATACACCTACTTAGCTGATCAAAGGGGCAGATGAACAAGAAGTAACTTCTGTTAGTTAAGTCCAAGAGGAAAGATACTGGGATGGGCAGTAGGGAGTGCACACTAGGATTTGGGGTCCAGCCGAAGGTCTGGCGGGTCCACACCCCGGTATTTGTCCTTATTGTGACTGAGATTTTTCACTCAGCTTAATGTACTCCAGGGTCATCATGAATAATATTTCATGAGTTCCTTGTTTTTCAATGCAGCATAGTATTCCAATGTGTGATTATACCAGAGCTTCTCTGTCTATTCGTTTGTTGATGGGCACTTGGGTTGTTTCCATCTCTTTGCTATTGTGAACAAAGCCACAGTAAACATAGGTGTGCATATATCTGCTTGGGTGGCAGTTTAGAATATTTTTAAAATGCATCAGAAGAACTTGAAAATCAACTACTAGTATCAGTCAGCTTTCAGCTATCAATGGATTTCACCCCTCTGAAAAAAACTACTGTTAACATTTTGATTAATTTTATTTTGGCATTTTTTTCATATAATTATTCATACATATTACACATATATTTATTTTTTAGTTATATTTAAAATACTATAAAATTCACCCTTTCAGATATATCATTCAATGAGGGGTGTTTTTTTTTTTCATTTTAAAATATACTTTCAGAGTTATTAAATTATTACCACTATCTTAATTTCATGAAATTTCATCACCTCATGAAGAACCTCCTTAACCTAGCAGTTATTCCTACTTCCCCCTCCCCACAGCCTTGTACAAATAAAAGTTTACTTGCTGTCTCTATGAATTTCCCTTGTCTCTACATTTTATATGAATATAATGTAAAAAATGACCTTTCCTATCTGACTTACTTTATGTAGCATTTTTCAAGTTCAACTTTGCTGAATTCTTTTTTTATTGCCAAGTAGTATTCTACCACATGTATTACATTTTATTTGTATGTTCATGGACATTGTATTGTCTCCAGTTTTTACCTATAACATTAATGCTCCTATGAACATTAGTGTGTATATTTTTACATATATCTTTTTTTTATCCTTTTGAGTACATACCTAAAAGCAAATTTGCTGTTAACTCCATCTAACCTTATAGGGAATCCCCAAATTGTGTTGTGAAGTAGCCATAACATTTTATATTCCCGACGGCATTATTAGGAGGGTTATGATTTTTCTATATCCTCACCAACACTCATACCACTTTCTGAAAAGAGATCTAGGGTATGTTGCTTTAAAAAGTCAGATTACAGAGTAGTGTATCTGAAGGGGAGGGGAGTAGAAAATAAAATCCTTTTTTAGAGTTGCTGTGTACATAGGCAAAAAATTCTGAGCGTCCATATAAAAGTTTTTTAAGTTGGAGTGGAATTACAAGGATTGTCACTTTCTAAGTTTATATATTTTTAATTTCTTTTTTTTGTTTTATTGCAATTATGTATTAATTACTTTTCAGTTTAAAAAAATAAAGCTCTTACTGAAATATGCCATGTAAGCAGAAAAATATGAGTTGTATGTTAAATGAATTTTCAGAAATTATTAAGAAAATCTATTATTTTGAAAATTTGTTAAAAATTTTTAACGGTCTCTTGGAATTTCATTGCTTATATAAAGTATATTCCATAATGTTGTAAACTTTCAAGTGAATATTAGAAAAAAACTAGCTTAAAAAAGCCACAATATTAAAAAAAAAAATTTTAAAAAAACCACCACAATATTCAGCATATCTTCATCCAAGGCTTAGTTATGTACCCAACATTGTTCATGAGGTTGAAATCTATGAGCAAAACACTATTGCTGCACATTGGAAGTTTACATTCTAGAGTGGTATACTAAACAAAGCACTGTATGGAGGTCAAGTCATAACTATGTTGCCTTAATCTGTCTAGTTGTTATGTACAAAGCAAAGGCCATGTGCGGAGCACCATGTCTGACCTTTACAAACTTCAGAGAGGGAAGCTGTATTCATCCACAGCATCAATAATACAGCACCAGTTCCCATTAGGTCAAACGTGTCCTCCACACTTCCATACCTCTTTCTACTCAACTCAGCACCAACCTTACTGCTTTGGTGGGCCCAAAATTTGATGTGATAGCTCACAGCACCATATTGGGAAGTCAAAAGGTTATATAGTTCAGGTGAATAAGAATACAGTCAAGACAGCTCCCAAAATGTGCATGCAGGCACCTTAGCCTTGAGCCTCGCAACGTTCTCAAGTTCTCAGTCCTGCCATTGTTGGCTTTTCTCCCTCATTTGGCCAACAGTTCTCAGTCCTTCCATTATTGGCTGTCCTCAATTGCACAACAGAGATCTTAGTCCTGCCAATATTGGCTTTCCTCTACACCAAAATCCCATCTCATGTCAATTTTCCAGTTTAGCCGTGGCTGCTGCTGCCATCCTAAAGCACGTCCTACGTTTTTGTGCTTCCTCTTCAC